GTAAGGCAGCTTGCTGTGATGCTCTTCCAAAGACACTGGTGAGTCAGAATGTCTGCTAATGCTTTCCCTCACAAGCAGATTTTCTTTCTAATAAATCTTTGGGAATTGTGGAGCTTTCCTGATGGTCCAGTCCACCTGCAAGAAGGTTCCAGTACTTTGAATGACCACAGATGCTTGTCTCAAAAAAGGCCTAGAATATGGTCACCAAGACATTCCCTAGTCATTACACTATATGGATAGCACAAGTCCTGTAATATTTGCCCCTGGCTGCACAGTGTGTCTTTGCTTTGTGTGCTTTCCCAAATGGAAAAAAAAGTCCTCCTTTCAGAATATCAGGAAATCTCTTGTTTTGATGAGACCCATCTGGCTTTTTTCATGAAACGATGTACATGTCCTGATCCCAATATATTCATGTAATGCCTCATGCTATTTTTGGTATTTTGGTAGTTAAGGAATATCTATGCACAGCTAGGGAGAAATGACTGTGCATTGATAAATCAGAAAAGGATATAATTCATCTTCACTTTCTGCAGCATGCATAGGCCTCACACGTAACTCCTTCTTGCATCAGTCTTTGCGGACAGCAATGAGGTATCATCTTGCCTGGCCAGCTAAGTAGAATGAGAGATGAAGAATATTGTCCTGCATAAAGACCCCTGAAAGGGGCAGAAGTTCATCTCTGTCTCCAGAAGGTACTGCTTGAAGCACGGGTATTCCTCAATGTAGCTCAGCAGTGCCAGCATATACCGCAGGGGACAGAGCTTCTGCCTGAAAGCTGTTCAAGAAGTCTGCAGGATGTGGGAAAATAAGAATTCTTTTTTTTCTCTCTTTATTTCTTTTTTTTTCTTTAAACCACAAACCACAGCTGTAAAGAGCCTCTTTTCTACAAGATATAAAGATCTGTATTCCTAAGGGTATTTTCCATTTTTTTTTTCCGTGAAATCATAGCCCAGGACCAAAAAAGGCCCAGTTGCTTTATTGAATGCTCTCAGACCGTCTATACCATCTTCCTTAGGCAACTTAGCCCTAGATAAGAATTTTCTAAAAGCAGAAAAGTAACTGAGGTCTATCATCTTTGAAATTGGTCTTTCCTGAAAACACACTGTGACATCCAAAATACAGTATTTTTTTTCCTGAAAAATACAGGCATAAGTGGCATTCAAAAAATAATACTGTTATTTTGACAAGTAAGAGAATGACAACCATTAAGGGGTAATTTTAATTTGTCATTTCTCTCCTTGATGCTATATGTAGGTTCATTTCTAAGACCCACAGTTCTCCCATTGAGCAAAAACTGTCTCATGTCTTCTGTGCCAACTTGTTGCATGATAAAGGATTTTGCATTTGTACAGGGCACCTGGAGCCTTTCATCAAGAGAGGACAAAGAAGTCTAAGCTTAGTTTCTTCCAGAGCTGTATCAAAAAATGAACCAGAGCTTGAAGCCATTTGCCCTCCCTGGGAAAATAGGGTGGATAGGAAAGAAAATATTTGTAAAGCAGGGACCTAAAAGCCCAGGTGTTCTTATTATTAACATAATAGTGTGCATGTTAGCAATTAATTTCATGCATTTTTTGACCAAACTAGTCTAGTGATTCTGAATGTAAGAAAAAAAGAATAGATGTTATTTCAAAAGCATTAGAAGGCCTGTTTTCCTTTACAGTCTATCCAAATTGCTGCTGTCATTCTAAACCACAATTAATGTAGGTTATGGATAGTCCATACAGGCAGCTATTATTCTGCACAGCTGCAGATCACTGTTGTCCTGCAAGGGTGTGGATATCTCACTGTTGTTCTGCAAGGGTGTGGATATCTCATTGTTGGCTCCACATTCTTTGATAACTGCATTTTCTTGATTGATCTTGTTGCCTTCCAATTGTATGTTAGGGGAAGCCAGACTATTGTTTCAGATTTGATGTTTAACTTGCTAAGGAGAGGGCTTTAGGGGGAAAGGAGCTCACTAAAGTGACACCAGAAGTGCTTTAGGACCTTTTATGTCTAATGGAGATGGTCTTAAAGCTGTGTGCTGTTCACCTCGTGACACTGAATCTTGCATTCATTGAACTGAACCATCTTGAAGGCATCTACTTTATGAGATGTTTTTGACACTGGATGCTCTTCTGCTATGGGATGGCCTCAGTGATGTTGTTTGCAAAGTGAGCTGAACCTGGACACCTCTGTAGTCTGTCTTGATAAGAACACCTTTAGTCATAGACTAGAAAACCTTCATAGTAGGAAAGGATCTGTGAGCTGAGAGAATGGAAATTGGGGAACTGAGAGAAATTGGTAACATGAGACCTTATAAGCCAGAGCAGAAGAGAGTATGATGCAGCCAGAGGGCTGGAGAGGTGCGTTTGACTTTCATATTTTTTATTACTGTTGGATGGGGTTCAGCTTGTTATTGTATGTCTGTTGACTATGGAAAGCATGAAGCACGAAGCAGCCTGTCTTAATTCCTACCCCAGTAACGGGGCTGTGCTGCTGCTTTGTGCTGAGGTATCAGCCCACGTTCCTGTAGCTGCTGAAACGAGGCTCCCTGCAGAGCTGTGCAGTGCAGCAACGGCCTGAAAAACAAGGTGCTCGAGCGCAGATCTAGGCCTTTAGTGTGCACTAATGGAGCATGCCAGAGAGAAAGAGAGGCTATACAGATAGTCGCGCTTGGGATCTTCCCGAAGGAAGGGCAGAACGTTGGGTTTTTCTCTCTCTTTCTAACCATATATCTCTGTTAAAGGGAAAGAAAGTGTGCTGGGATTGTTTACTCCCACTTTTGTTTGTTCCTGGGAACAAGAAAAAGGAACTGCTGGAATTGTATTCAGTGTTGGCAGAGAAGATCCCACTTTTTCTTTCCCATTGTCTTCCTCAATTTGCTACCTAGTAACACAGCATATAGAGACTGCTCTGCTTCTGGTCCTTCCCCCAGCCCCAGTGTCCTGCAACGTGCTGGAAAGCCTGCGCTCAGGAGTGCGTTCAGGCTGTGATTAACCCCATAGAGGCACTTTGTCCCGTGGCTGAATTACAGCTAAGCAGACCTGGAAAAGCAGTTTTAGCATTAAGAAAACGCATGCAGGTCCTGTCCTGTGAATCTAGTTCTCAAATGTGGTAGGGAAACTGAGGTCTGGAGAGAGAGAACTGAACTGAAGTCTGTTCAGCTTCAAGGCTTATTGTAGCCACGAGGTTACCTGTGTCGTTCTTACTGATAATATCCCCTAGGAATCAGCTCCCCTGATTGCTCCACTCTCAGGTTGTCTGCTCCCTGAGCACCCTTAGGACACCCGGCTTAGTTGCCCTGCCACCTCTCCCTGCCACGTAGGAAGGGCAGTGAACAAGGGTAGCGAAGCGACCCATCTGAGGGGCTGGCCAGGGTTAATCTGCGAGCGGCTCTGACGTGCTCCAAGTGCCACGTATGATTATGAAGCTAGTGCTCAAGCTCAGCCCTTTGCCGCTCCCCCTCCTTGCTTCTTGTGTTTTATTTTTTCTTTTTCTTTTCTTTTTTTTCCCCCCCATAATAGCGAGGAAGCCTTTCAATTGGTGGGCAACAGAGCCAGCACGGGGCTCATGAGGAACAATGACCAAAGACCAGACTCCAGCTTGTAAACCAAAACCTCCCCAGTGGCTGCTGCTAAAAGGAGATTAGAAAGGATTCCTCTGCCAGCTGGCATCTGGATTTCCCCCCACACCGCCTCAAAACCAAGAATTTCTAGTCCATGAGTGTTCACGCAGCCCCTGCTCGGGACAGGCAGCGGGACCAGCAGCGCGAGGAGCTGCTAGTGCTGCAGCACTGAGCCGAGCTGCACGTTTCATCCAAACACTGGTGCCAGGTCAGGAAGCCCCACGGAGGGGAAAGGGGTAAGGCCAAGCAGTGGGGAGGAACTGCTCCTCAGAGCGCGTGCCCCAGCCAAAGTGTCACACGGGGTGGCAGGCTGCCTCCACTGACCTAGCCTGGCTAAGCCCCAGCCAGCGGGACAGTGGGGAGCCAGGGGGGACACTTATAGTTCATTAAAAGGCTTGAGATTACATTTGGGGCAATGTCATGGTAAGTTACGTGGAAGCAGTCACCTCTGTGAAGAAAAGAGGAACCCAAGCCTGATGGAGGAAGAGCTGCATCTTGAGACACCCATGGAGAGCCCTGGCCACAACCAAGTAAGGAGCTGAGTATCATTTTACACACTCGGTTGTTGGGGACCAGGAATGGGGAGGGGACAGGGAGGAAACTCTGTGGGCTTTAGAACATGACTTTAAGTATTTGTGGTTTGGGGAGTCGAAGGAGTGAGGAATGTAGCCTCTGAGTTCCACGTGGCCTCCAAGCACCAGAGATTTTACCTTTGGGAATACCTACAGTTGAAGAAAAAAAAACAACTTTTTTTTTCCCCTCCCATATTGATTACTTCCCAGGATCACGTCCATGAGCTTTTTAGGAGCATCTGCAATCTGCATGGTAAATGTAGGGGTTACACACATACATGTGTGTGTGTGAGTCTGTACTGGTAGCCATATAGGTCATTCCAATGGACATTACTAAGCTGTGGCAAAGGCACTGCCCTGGTTTAAATAACCTTATTTAAACCCTATTGTGAGAAGTGATTTCTGATTGAGGAGAGGTTTACGTGAATCTATCAGAAAGCAGATGCCAGAGGTGGTGCGTGTCTGAGGGCCTGGGGAAGAACGAGGCAGATGCTCTCTGGGCCAAGGAGGGTACCAAGGAATTTCCATTCTGTGACTCTCTGGCTGACCTAAATTCTGTCTGTTCCTTTGAAGAGTTATTTTGGAAAGGGGAGACGATTCAGAGTGATCCAAAGATGTTGCAGCAGAAGTACTTGAAAAATGGCAAACCATCCAACCCTTCAACAAACAACTTCCTTCTGAAAAAAAAAGAGCATTTCCCCCCCAAATATTTATTTTTTTTACAATGTTTTTGAGATTAATATTTTTGAAGTCTTGTCAGGTGCGGCCTGGGCCATGCTCAGGTCATTGTGCAGAATAGGTGCAGAACTCCCCAAAGCACCTCACAAACCACAACAAAGGGTCCTCAGGGTCTATCATCAGAATGAACGGGCCCAAAATTCAGGTACCCACAGGTATTGCTCCTGCCCTGACCCAGAAACCATCTCTCAGAAACTCCATGAAGGGAAAAGAGCTGAATGAAGGAGACATTGGTCCTTCTGCAAATGGCTTCAACACCATTTTTCCTCAGATTTGCCCACCCTTTCCAGGCTGGCTGACAACCTTGCATTTTCTGTTTAGAAAATGGTAGCCAAGATCTGCCAAAGAGACTAGCAGGTTTGGCAGAAACGCTGTTTTAGTTGCAGGACTGCTGGATCTGAGGAACTAAAGTCTTGAGTACGTCTCTGAGCAGCTCCGCTTCTTGGTGCATTTTCTTTTTCTAAAATTCAGGATTTTCTCCTGAAGGGAAAACCTTAATTCTTCAGGCCTGGGGGGAGGGCTGAGGACCCAAATAGCTAAAGCTAGAGTAGGAAACAGTGCCTGGTTTCCTTGCTCCCCTTCAACTGCCCTTTTCCATTCTCCCACTTTCCCAGTTCAGCTACCTCCACATTCAAACACACAGCAGTTCCTCCACTCTCTTCCACATCAACTGTCCGTCCGTTTTGGAGAGCGTGGCCTTTGTGCCACCAAAGCAACCCCCAGAGGGAAGGTGACACGCCAACAAGACCAAGAAACGTTCCAGAAGAGATCCCCAAGGCTGTTAGACCATGAGCCACAGAGTTTGGTGCTCGGGCCTCAGCATGCGCAGTCTCTGCCCCGCTAGTTCCTTTTACGTGAGCCTGGGAGCAGGAGAGTGGACGCTGACGCTTTCTCTCTTGGCTTTGGGTGGCCCAGCGTGCCTTTCAACTGCACTTGCAGGATTTCACCACCATGTTGGAGAGCTGCTCCACTTTGGGGGTCCTCCCAACATAGTACAGGATAGTGAGCGGCTCCAGGTCCTGGGGGACACAGCAGGGTGAGGCGGACGCCTCCGGGTTCAGCGTGTTGTACAAGCCCAGCACCTGGGGACACAGAAATGTGATAAAGTCACCCATCTGTTCAAGTGGGTTGGCACAGCACAGGACTGCAATGCCAATGGATCTCTAGGTGTCTGGACTAATGCTTGTTAGGGGATGTTCCCTCTGTAGCTTCCCAAGCATGGCCTGCTCTTAGGGGGTTTCATCTGCCCAGGCCCGGTGCCAATTTCTCTCTTTTTTAATTGAAGCAGCCTTGTCTTGTGGCTGATGTCTGCAATAGGAGTGCAAGCAGCTGACTCTTCATCTTTGACTAGGTATGTCACAATTTTTCCTTTTAACAAAACTGCAGGTAACCAGCTTGGGGCCATGTTGTTTTCTGTTCAATTAACCCCCCTCCTCTCCCAAAAAAGGAAGGGGGGGAATCATCACTGATTATTTCAACCAACATCTCTAGATAGTATTGGATGTCGGCCTGAGTATCTACAGTTCCCTCCCAGCTTTGAAGTTTCTGACTCTGTCTTTCTCCACTCCATCCTCCAAGTCCTTACAGTACAATGCCGGAGCCAGGAGAGTGTCCCATGGGACCCCACTGGATTCCTCCTCCCTGCTGGCCCAGCCCACAGATGATCCATGACTTGGGCCATGTGACGACCCGAGAACAGTTGCATGTTTCTTGCCAGAGGTGGCTGCTTTTCAGGGGGAAGCAATTTCTGGAGATGTGAGGCCAAAATATGATCTCACCTGCACTACTGTGGTCTCATTAGCGCCCATCTGGTTTAAATGAGATGGTCTGGCACATTGTCTGTTAACTGCTCTGCAGTCTTTGGGGACAAGGGGTGCTAAGGAAACATCCTGTTTTATCACCCACAGCCATGTACTTGCAGTCTTCCTGGTGGAAGCAATTTGGGATACTGAGCGAAGGCTCCAGCTGCAGCATGTGAGGTACTTTATGCTCTAAGGCCTCTGTTCTCCACAGAGGCAGAGCAGTTGCAGGGCATGGTGAGAAGGCTACTTTTCACCACCTTCTTCCCAGGTGGTGGTGATCAGCAGCTGTAGGTTCTATGGACTGCTCGGGTTGTTCTGCTAACCTTGCCACTTGACTGGTAAGATGATTGAGGGACTGGATAATCTCTGATATAAAGAGAAGGCTGAGAGCTGGGACTGCTTAGCTTGAGGAAAGGAAGACTGAAGTGGACTCTTATCAATGCGTATAAGACCCTGAAAGTGGGGATAGAGAGGACCTCTTTTCAACGGTGGCCAGTGATGAGGAAAAAAACAGGCATAAATTAAAACAGAGAAAGTTCTGTCTGAACATGAGGAAAAACTTTTTTATCTTGGGCATCCTGAGCAATGGAACAGGTTGCCCAGAGAGGTTATGGAGTCTCCATCCTTCAAAAATCATCTGCCTAGGTTCCTGGGCAATGCACTCTAGGTGAGCCTGTTTAAGCAAGACAGTTGGACTAGAAGATCTTTAAAGGTCTCTTCCATTTTTTTTTAACTTACTTTTCCCACTAACTTTGTCAGTAAAGCCTAAGCTAAGTTGCTAGTTGGCAGTTGCACTGTCTAGCTTGTTGCCTTTTATTTTGTTGACAGAAGCACAACATTTTCTTCTGGCTTTTCTTGCTTTAATGATGGCCTGCCCTTTAGTCTTTCTTCTGCCCTTGGTGGGTCTATTGCCCATGTCCATTCATTTGTATTGCTCTTTTTTTTTTCTCCTTTGTTCTGGACACTAGCCTGTGTCACATGCTGTTCTTCAAAGATGATGGCAAACTCAAGCCTAACCAGGCTTGAGTTACCTAGAAACATTTGCTTTCAGTTTTACTCATGAATCTCCCTGCACAGTGAGCTCCCCACCACCACAGATCAGGTTGGATTTATCCTTTCAGGCTGGAAAGGATGCCTATAGAGAAAGGAGAGCTTACTGCATGGCCATGTTCACTTGTGGACATGCACGCATGTTCTCCTCCAGTTCTGGGCCCCAGCTGTCCCTGTGCTAGAACAGCAGCTGAGGGCCATGGCACAAGTTTTACACGACAACCTGATACAGACTGCTGAAACATCTTCTGCCTAGTGAAAACTGCAGGAAATTTAGAATGTAATTAACAGAGTTCACTCTTCATGTGAACAATTGTTAACACCTCAACCACTACTAAATACGTAGCCCAGAATCATCAGACCTACTGCTTTTACATGTCATTCAAGAGACATCCTCCTTCTCCTCAACATCTGGCTGAAGCATGGATGCAATACTGACTCAAAAGGAATATTGACTCAAAAGGAAGAACGTCCTGCCTAGTTGACCCTCACACACAGTTCCCTGAATTTTCCTTTAAAGATTTTTTGTGCATGTGTGTAAAAAGACTGATCTGGATTGCTGTTGCTGAACTGAAGTAACCGGATGACACTGCACTTAGAGACGAAGAGGAAGCCACAACCACAAGCTGATAACGTGCTGCGTGTACCGTGCTGTGAGTCGTGTCTGCGCTGCGGAGGTACGGGCAAGGGCCCGAGCAAAAGTTAGCAAAGTAGCCCTTCGGCTCGTGGACCCATTTCCAGCCCAGATCCTGTCGGAAGTCGATGTAAAGAGGACGCACACAGCAGTTCTCCTCCAGGTTCCTGGAACACAGCATGGACACAAAGTTAATCTGAAGAGGGTCGTTACACGTGAGTATATGTATACATATATTTATTATACGACACAGCTTCCTGAGCAGAAGGATTGGTATCACCAGTGCCCTCCGTGAGCCTGTGCTTTGTTTTGAGTGGATGTGAAGGAGGACCAGGGCCACCATGCGCGTGGGGCAGGTGTGCAGTGGGACACCGTGTGGCTCTCACCACTAGGCAGCCCTGCCACCAGCACTGTGAGGGGACCACGGGCAGGTGGGTGACCCAGGGCAGCGACCGGGCGCTGCAGGGCCCACATCCTCCTCCTCCACTTGGGGCTGGCGAAAGGGCCCTGCCTGTTTTGTGCTCTGGAAGCTGCTCAGGAGCCTTCTTCTCGCCAGTGACTCACCCAGGAAAACAGAGTGACTCTGTTGACCTGGCCAGCGTCTCCTTGGATGCCATGAGCAACAGCTTGCTTGGCTCTGCTTTTTGGGTTGCCCTTGGGAAACCACAGTGAGCCACAACTCCCTTGGAGGCTCTGACTTTCTCTGTGATCTGGAGTCTTGCCAGGTTTGACCACCCACGAGATGGATCCCCAGGATCTACCCACCTGAGACATGGACCAAGACAGTGGCAGCAGGCAGGATTCTGGCTTACCGGAAGCAGTAGTTGGTATCCAGGGCTCGTTTCTTCCTCTGGCCTCCCAACGATGGACCCTCCAGCCGATGCGGGGGTAACATCATCAAAATGAGGTGGGGATTATGCAGGTCTTTCTGCTTCTTCAGGCGCCCCAAGTCCCCACGGCCATAGTCATCCTCGCTGTCAATGCCTTCAGAGACAAACAAGTCCATAAAGAAGATGCTAATGTAGAAGAGAGGATGCAAGGAGACTCCTTAGTGCATTTAACACTCGCATGCCTCCTCTTGAACCGTCATCACCAAGCCACTTGTTTTGGGACTTCTTCTTTCACAAGGGACCCTTTTTACTCCTGATGAATTTGACTGCTGCATGGCTGAAACAGAGGCTTCTGGGCCACCTGTTTTACCATTTGCAAACTGCTGGTGGGGCCATTAATCCATCCCACTCACTCCTGGCTTCAGTCCCAGGACAGGCAGGAAGATGAATGGCTTAAAGAAGATGTCAGATCATTGGCACTCTGCAAAATAGCCTCAGAAATTGAGCCTGTGGGGGCCAGTGGCTGCAGCCCAGGGCTGCAAGCCAGGAGGTTCCTAATTCTTAGGCCAGCCAAGCCACTGACTCTCTGGGCCACCTCACACAGGATGCCTGACTTCCTTGTGTTCCAGTCGCCCTAACTGGAAAGCAGAGACCCTGGAAATCTGAGAAGGCATCAAGCTGAACTTCCCAGAGAGACGTTAAAGTACAAAATTACTCCTTTCTGCAGACACACATGCAAACCTACCCAGCCTGCACTTCCTTCCTGTCATTTCTAAATTATACAAAAATAGACACAACCATACGACCAATATGCAAAGCCAGATACGTAAGCTTTACGTATGCTATAGCATAAATGTTATGCAAGGTAGAACACTCAAATGCACAAAGCGAAACTGTTTTTCTTTAGACACCCTCAGCTCTCTGCTCACCAAGCACCTCCCCGAACCCAGTTCTTTATCACCTTTGAATTTGATCTCCAACACCTCATGTAAATTCTCCACGATGTCTCCATTGGGCTGAAAAGTATGGCAAGGACAGTGTATACTGATTTCCAGGCCAAGGTTGGACTCTGCAAAGAAAGAGAGGCCTCTGTGAGAAACAACAAACTTCCTCGGCCAGGGCTGTTCCTGCAGTGGTAGCTGCCGTAACGCCCAGCCTGTGGGTTGATCATAAAGCCAGAGAGGCCACGAGAGCTAGGGAACAAAGGTGACTTGGAAAGGAGAATGAGAACCAGAATGAGGAACAGAAAAGGGAGCTTCTTCCTCAGGTGAGAAGGGTGCTCTTGATTAATGTTTTTCAGGGATACTCAGCATCCAAAAGCATTTGTGAGATTCAAGGAAAACAGTGGAAAACACTTATTTTGAAAAGCTGTCCTACACGGTCTGTGTTAAGTCAGCATTGCCATCCTCAGTACCTGCCTACTATCTGGCTTCTGCTTAGCGTCTGAAGCAGAGATCTGAAAAGGAGCAAGTTGGATATGGATAAATATTTCACTGGAAGCACTTTCCTCAGCAGCTGCAACCTCCTGTTTTGTTGAACTCCTAGTGGTCTAAGCAACGGACTTTCCAGAGGCACGTCTATTTTCATAACAACTTCCTGGACCAGTCATGCTGTGTGGGCCTGACTCAGGAAACACAAGACTCTTATGAAAGTTCCTTTTCTGTGTTATGATGTGTCATGAATTAAGACATCTGGCTCCCTGGGGCCTTGACAAGGTGCCTGGCACCTTCTTTCCTAAGCACTGTATGCTCTGTGATGTCTGTCTGCTAGCGTGCCTGCCCAGCGCAGGCCATTCCAGCACTGAACTCCAGCCACCAGGACAAAACCTAGATTGCTTTGGAAAAGGAGAAGTCTACAGAGGCACAGCTCATCCTTCCAGAGAGCGGCTGCTTGCCAATGCCGACATTCCAGTTTTCAGTGGCACCTAACTTGCATCTGGGAGGCCAGTGCAGCTGTGAGTCACGGTGCCTACGCTGCAGCTGTGAATGGGATCAGTGTTCGTGCTGGAAGCTGCCCCGTAACGCTGTGCCGGGCTGCCCGCCGGCGGCAGAGGTATGTGCTCTGCAGCGCTGAAGCCTCCATCTGTCTAGGTGTGTCAGCCCCTAGCATTTCCTCACCTTTATACCTGCCAAACTGCAAACAGCTAAAGAAGTCAGGATCCTTGCTGGTTTTTCCCGCAAGATCTACTCTATTTCACATGAGAGCTAAATCAGAGCAATCTTCATTTTGTGTGTGTGTCACAGATCAGATGACTGGAGAGGTACTTTCCGGGCTTAGAATCAAAGAACTGAAAGAAATGGCAGCATTTCTCAGTGAGAGCAACTTCCTCCTCCTGAGGATGAATTCTTAGTTTCGCTCAGCTCCCAGAGCCACACACCAGGAACTCCAGGCCCGAGCTGGGAGGCTAGCAAGGAGCATGCACTGCCACAGCTCCGTGGATAAAGCCCTGCCCGCAGCCTGGAAGAAGTTTCCCTCCGTGCAAGCCCTGCTCCTGCGGGGCAGCTCCGGGGTGTACGTTACTCCGCAGTACCGGGGGTGCCATGCCGTGCAGCCCAGAGCCCTACCTCTGTGCAGGAGCCACTCGCGCACGGTCTCGGTGACATCGAAGGACAGCCACTCAGGGGAGCCCCGCGTCTGCACGTTCCTGCCGCTGAGGTAGCGCTGCTTTGCTATGTGCTCATCCGGCCGAAGGATCTGGTGGGAAGGAGTGGGAGAGAATCAGTCCGTGCTGCACTGAAGGAAGGGATGACCTTGGCTCATTTGTCTTCCACAGCCTGTTACAAGCTAATTCAGGAGATGGATGCCAGCAAGGGAGGCACCAGGTATGCCCTGACCAGACAACCAGTCTGAACCTCAGCGATCTACTTAGCACCTCTCCTGTGTCCTTGGCAGCCCACCCTAGCACTTCATCCTTGTCTCAGGGCCCATCTTTACACACAGCAGTACACGCTGCAGCAGATCTAACGGGTAGTTTTGTTTCTCTATATGCCAGTGGGAAGTGCGTCTGAATTGCAGGATAGCACCAGCAGTGGGCAAGAGAGGGTCCTGCCAGAGGTCCTTGCCCAGGAAGTCTGTTGGTGGCATTTGCAGGTACACTGTATCTCAGCTTCTGCAGCTTTCCTGACCTGTTTGATCAGGTCTGCAGACCGTACTCGTTGGTCTGACATCCCTTCCCTCTTGCAGGCAGTGGGCCCCAAGCAGCCCTGGCAAGGACCTGCTGCAGGGCTCCCAGCACGTGCCCCAGAGCACTGTGGAGGGGCTCTAAGAGTGCTGGCCTTGGCTGTGTCAGCTGGCAGAGATTTGCTCTGACCTTTCCAGAGGTATCTGGGTAGCTCTGAAGAACCAGCAGCGAAAGGGCAATTTTAACTGCATTCTTACTGCAAAGTGGGCAGAGGCCAACCTGTGGAGACGTGCAACATCAATGCTGAACTGTGCGTTTGCTGGGTAGTCCAGCCCTGCCTGAGATCAACTTCAAATCAGAATCAGATCTTATTCTGCCAGGAGAGTCTGAAGGTTTAAATCAACTCAGATGAGCACCCATATTAAGTGAGTCCATGAATCACACCCCAAAAGAAGCTGCTGATGAAAGGAAAGCAAATGTTCCTTTCCTAGTGAGTCTGTGGTAAGACAAGGAGCTCTGTCTACTGGATAAGCACTGGCTATGTTGACAGTCAAAGAAGCAAAAGTGTCAAGGGGCCTAGGCATGCAGAGGTGACAGAGGAGTGAGTGCTCCTCCACTGGCCAGAGGTTCCTCTTTCAACTGGCCAGATGTTCCTCTTTCAACACCTTCTCCTGCAGCAAAGAGCTGGCAGAGGCACCACAACAGGATGCCCACAGCAGCTGGGTACCGTGAGTGGGGAAAGTGTAAGAGGAAGAAAAGGCAAGTGAATCAATTCATACACTAGAGGAAGCCTGAGGTTAAAAAAAATGATTTCCTCTTTTCCTCTCTCTCTGTTATGTTGCCTTGCACACATCAGTTGAGACAAGCTTGGGGAGAGAAGCTGTTCTCAGCCGAGGCGTTGGAGGGGACAGGAAGGACACTCACCTGGAAGAGCTCGATGCGCTGCTCACTGCGCTTGGAGCTTGGGTTGGGCACACGCAGCACCCGAAACTCGGCCCGGAACAGGTTGGTGCTATTCTTCTCTGCTGAGGACACGTTAAAGCGGAACACATTGGAGGTGACACCTTTGGGGCAAATGCCCAACTCGTCTACAAGAAAGAAAAGGGAAAAGATTGAGAACCATAGGACAGAGGTGAGGAATCTAGGATAAACATATTGGCAAACAGCCTTCCAATTCAGGCCTGCCATTCATCCTGCCGCCTCTAAGTATGTCTGTCTGGCTGAAAATAACAACATAGGATGAACTTGCTTGAATTTACTCTATACTGGAATGTCTTGCAAAATCTTCTCACTACTGCCACCATTACTTCAGTGGTACAGAGACTCAGTGGAGAACAACAACAGTATATTTATCTCTACGTCTTCTCTGTTCATCAAATGTTGCTCACGCACGTGAGTCTCTACATCTAAAGTGATGATCCTAACCAGAAGGATGGGGCAATCTCATCAGTTAGTGCTGCCCAGTGGAGTGACTCTGCTTATGCTGGAGGTCTGCTTATGGCTGGGAAGCCATACAGGACCTGATCTCACCACTTTTGAACCTTAGTTTTACAGATTTTGACATTGGCTCCTGGAATGAAAGTCTGCCAAATGGCTGTAAAGGTATGGAAGATTTGGGGAGTATGGGGGACATACTGAGGGTGTCCAGAACAAACTGGATTTTAAGACCAGTTTTCATTCATGACCTTAAAGAGAAATTTACGGACATTTTAGTGCATTTCAAGAACAGATTAATAGTGCTGAGAGGCCTGCAGAGATCAGACACACGGACAGGAAATAGCACAGCAAGTCTCAGCCTGGAAGTCTGCCTGTTGAGCAGAACAACTCAGCCCACAGATGCCCGAAAGGAGAGCAGGTAAAAAACAGAGGGTTCAAAGCAGAGTCCATTCTGTCTTTGTCCACAGAACAATGTGCTGAAAAACAACATCAAAAACAAAACCCAGTCTCTTCATGGGACTATTCTGCTCCCGGGGAAAGGGTTCTCCCAGGCCTGTTCCTCCTGTCCTGTTGACCACTGTCAGCCTTCAAGGCTCTCCCATCATTAAGGCTCCCCGCAGACAGCACTCAGCAGCTCCTGCTCTGTGGCCACGTGCAGGTTTACTTTCATACACAGTCATACACTGCCTCTCCTATAAGCTCTGGTGTTCAGATGAACACAGAGCTGCCTGTCATGGCAGCTGATGTTATATTTATGTTGTTCTTAAAACAAAACAACCCCCCCAACCTATCACCATTCCCAGCCACAGATCCAGTCTGTGACAAACAGACTGGAAGCCCTAGCAACTTTCAAATTACATTCCTGAACTTGCTCTCCTCACTTCATGGAACCATCACCTCCCAAGAAAAGCAGGGTCTGAAGATGGCCAAGGAGGGACCGTCCCTAAGAGCAGGGACTAACTTCCTAGGCCGACTTCTGCTCCGAGCAACACCAACGCACTTCCAGAGTCACCTCCCTGAGGATGGAGGCCTTCCTCTTGTGCTGCACCCCAATTCAGTAAGACTACCAAGATGTGTTTTGAGGTACTGCAATTTTACCGACTGAACTAATGACCAGAAGCTCACGTGGAGATTTAACTAGAATGTAGTATTGACTGGAACAGCCTTCCCACCCAGGAAGGACCCCGGCTGCTGTTCAAGAGCTGGATGTTGGGCAGCCCCAGGAGAGCAGGCCCTGCAGGGGCCACAGGCCGAGCCCAAGGGCCGGCAGCTCGAGGAGGGCACCAGGCCATGCGAGGGCTCTCGCTGGGGGGCTCCACCCTGCGTCCAGTTTTACCTTGCGTTCCAAAGAGCAGTACTAGAGAAAAAAAATAAAACCCCCAAGCTCTGGTCTCTGCAAATGCTCAAAAGCATTTTCCTCCTGAAGCCTAACTCTGATAACTGCTCTGTGTCCTAGCTGACACAGAGCTAGGACCTCAGGCCTAACCTTCTAATACCCCCACTCCAAAGCTGTTCTGTAGCCCTAGCCTTATTATCCGTGCTGTTAACAGCCCACCTTTCCACCTTGGAGCAGACTGGCTGTCCACACAGGACGTCCCTGTAAGAACATTTGAAATACTTTCCTTGTGAGAGTGGTGGTTCATCTAGCCCAGTATCTAACAGTGGCACCTGGGTGCCACTTAGGGACAGCTAGACAGACCACAGGGTCGATGAGAGACACAATCATTTATTGTTTATCAGCTCTGCAAGATTCTTGGCCAAGCAGCCTAGCAGTGATGCTGGTAAGAGGTGACTGTCTCTGGGGTGTCTCCCCCATTCTCACCACACTGCCTTCTGCCTACGTATTTTACCAGCTAAGTCCAGGAAATGTCTTTCCTAGTGGAGATAACAAGAGCTATGTTCCCTTCACAGGAAGGACTTTCACATTTCCTTCATGTCCTATGAACAAGCCATCTGTCATGGAGAGATGGGGCCAAGCCGTGTGTCCCATTCTGAACACAGTGAGGTTCGTGGCTCTGCTTCTCCTGGCAGAGGTGCAGAGCACAGGCCTCTCCAAGAAAAGGGCCACCCCTTCACGGACAAGTCTCCAGCTGATGTACGGGGACAAAGTACTTGCAAGAGGTCACAGGCGGTTGGGTGATTTAACAGGAAACTTAGTCTGCTGCCAGGCTGGGGTGCATTAATCACACTGGAATCTGGACATGGCCAGATACTAGTACTGAACGATGCCCAAAGTTATATTCCTAGAGTGGAATCCATTCCGTGGATGTAGCCAACCCTGGAGAAAGGGCATCTGTGACACCCTCTGCACACCCGTGCCTGGCAGGACAGATGTATCCTGGCACGAGCATTCCTAACTATGCAGATCCTACCAACAACCTGGAGCCCAGGCAGCCTCAATGCTGCCTGACCGACGAGACTAGTGGCCTTTTCAGGTAGATGATGTGACACAGGGAGCACGGCCTTTTAGGAACTTCCTTCCCTCTTCCTTCAGCTGCTCTCAATGAGCTGCAGGTTCTGTACGTGCTGCCGATCCTGCCAGGCGGATCCTGTGCAGATTCAGGATCCAGGCTGGCAGACACCCAACAGCTAACGGCTGCGCACTCAAGAGTTTGATGTCAAGGAAGGACAAGTCGTCTGTGCAAAGCAATTGGCTCAAGCCACAGTACCCTGGTCAAGGTGCTTCCTGGAGAAGTCATAACATCAGCTGGCACAGACAGCTGTGTGTTCATAGCTAGGGAGAGGGCCTTCTTCCCTCTGGAGCTCTGCAGGTGGCAGTTTGGATGGAAAGGATGTTTGGCCCTTGGGACCCGCTGTTTTAACTGCCTCCTCTCTCAAACTAGCCTGGAAAATTGCTTACTTTCCCTGAGGAAAAACAAATGCCAAGTAGTTTGCAGGATTGTTGCAATTACTTTGTGTCTGCATCTAGCTCAAAGTAGGAACAGGAATCCGCTCCTGAAGATCCTTCCTTCCTAGAATGGTTGGGCTCTCCCTGCTGCTATTTTTGCTCCTCAGCTTTCCTCACTCTTGAGCCTTAAGTCCTGGAGAAGGATGAGTTCTCTAAGCCAAGTCACTGTTTGACTAATGCTTTGGAGCTAGAACAGTTCTTTTGTGCATGTGTGTGTAAGCACATTTCAGACTCGCCTGTATCATCCTCACAGTTCCCTCAATGGAGCAGCCCTCCCCTTCCCCCCAGGAGGAGCCTGGCTCTGGCTCAGCGCACGCTCTGAGATCACCACCTGGCACAGTGACAAAGTCATGGGAAAGTTGAACATCAGCCACTTTTGAAGACAGAGGGCCAAATTCAGCGATGGTGTAAGCGGTGAGACTCCCCAGGTTTCAGAAAGAGCAGGCCTCTCTGCACCACAGTCCGCCGGAGCCGCTCTCCCTGCGTGACCCAAGTCCAAATGCTCTCTCTGGACAGTGGGATCTACACTGTTGGCTCCCCAAAATTCAATCCTAACACTGCGTGGTCTTTCAAATCCACTGCTCAGAACCATGTCCTGATGTCCTAGATGGAGATAGGAAGAGTTCATTCATTTCCATAGGGATGGAGAGACCAGCTTGCATCCAGTGTGCGGTGGCCAAGGCTGCAGGAGCTTCCTCCCAGCAGTGTCTGTGCTCACCCAGGGACCCACATCTGCTGCCCCATGCGAGACCTCTCCTCTTCCTGCACCAGCTCACCGTCTCTCCCCTCTGTCTCCATGCTGCTTCTCAAGCACCACGCTCCTTCCGCTCACCCCTCCACTCTACTCCAAATCCACTCCTCACCTTCTTTCCCAGTGCTGTGCTTTCCCAGTTTCCTGCACACTGGAACACACTGCTTCATGGGGTGGCCGTGTTATTTTGTGCAGGGGCTTGGTCTGCCCATGCATTTCTAGTTTCACAATTGACACATTAGTAGGTCAAAAATGTTGAAATATGGGTAAGCTGCTCATACCCCACGCACTTTCTGTTCCTGGAGTCTTGGTGTCTCCTGAGCTAAGAGCTAATCATATAACCATATGGAGTGCAGTCTGCTGGAGATTAAGTGAAATTTGTTGCATTACCACATTGTAGCTCTTATTCCAGCTCATCATATGTCAGGATTAACATAAACCTGGCAGAGTAGCTGCAATCTGGCTGCCTGTACCAAATCCCAGCTGCTTCCTGGGAACTGCTGGCGCTCAGTGTCCCCAAGGCTGCACTACATCACGAGGGGACACCCTGAATCGTGACATGACTGAATGCCCACCAACTGCTTCTAGCAGGAACGAGTCCTGCACCCTCACCGAGAGGACTGCTTGTGCCCCCATCCGCTCGGCATGTGCTTGGGGTTCTTGTCCGCTCAGTCTCTGCATCTCTATCTGCTCAGCTTCTGCACCTGAATCTGCTTAGGATCTGCATCTGGGCCTGCTCATCATCTGCTCTGCACCTGCTCAACATCTGTCTCGTATCCTCAGTGCCTGCGTTGCTAGTGGGGAGAAAGGAGGGTCTCCTCTGCATTGCTGTCTACTTTGCACCTGCTCAGCATCCCCCTTAGCCGCTACCTTCTTCTCACACTCCTTGGTAGTAGAGTAACATCCTTAACAGCATTTTCCAGCCAGGAGTCATGGCAAATGCCCTTCCAGCTTCTCTACGGCCCATGCGGGCTCTGCACAGCCCGAACAGGCTGGCTGCATCCTGGCAGCCGGCACGGGGGCTTCAGCAGGGAGGAGCCGGCTCGCAGCCGCAGCGGCTGCCCTTTGCCGCGGGACCTTGCAGCTCTCCGGCGCGCAGCACAGCGCTCACGCCGCCGCCTCTTCCCTCCCCGTGTCTCCCGCTTTCTCCTCTCCGTCCCGCCCGCCGCTCCGGGGTGCTCCGGGGTGCCGGGCCCGGCTGCGCTGCTCCCTGCCCGGGGGCCACGTCCCGCCG